TTGACACAGTGACTGCAACAATGGGCTCAAGTGTAGCAACGATTGTGAGGATGGCACAGGACCAGGCAGTGTTTCATTCTGTTGTACGTGGGATCACTATGAGTCAGAACCAACTCAAGGGCACCTAACAACCACAACCACAACAAGCAAAAGAAGTAGATACAAGAGTATATTCTATATCATTCCAGTAATATGAAGGTCTAGAAAAAAACAAAACTAATCTATAGTGATAGAAATAAAATCCTTGGCTGACTGGGGATGGGGAGTAAAGGGGCACTGACTGCAGAGGCAGGAGAAAATTTTCTAAGGCAACGAAATTATTATATCTTGAATAGGGTGGTAGTATGTTTGAGTTATACACATTTGTCAAAACTTACTGCTCTGTATGCTTAAAGTGTTTGCATTTTATTCTATGTAAATTGTATTCCAACAAAATTCATAAATAATACACATGGACTTACTGTTTAAAAAGAAAAATTATTAAAACATTTTATGAATCATGCACTTGAAAACTCATTTTCCTGGATGTTAATTACAGCTCCATGTTCTACTTTTTTGCTTTCTTAATTAATCATTTTTGGTTGATGGAAGTAGAAACTAGCAGGGTTTCTCAACTTTGGCATTATTGACATTTTGAACTGAATAATTATTTGTTGTAGGGGGCTGCTTGTGCATTTTAGGATGCTTAGCAGCATTTCTGGCATCTGCCCTACACTGTCAAATACTCCCTGGAGAGGCAGGCAAAATCACTCCTTTGAAAACAACAGGGTTAACACATCATGTATGTGGTTAGATAGACATTGATGGAGTTCTAGTATTCATAGGTATACTGTGAAGAAAGAAAAGGCACATCAGTAGTTTATCACTACATCTGCCATCAAGTCAATGCTCAGTACATATTATCTCTATTAAATTGTGTAATTCTGGGCTTTAAAAAGCAACAACAAATCACTTACTGTCTTAGTTATCTAGTGCTGCTGTGACAGAAATGCCACAAGTGATGGCTTTATTTTCTCACAGTTTAGGAGGCTAAAAGTCCAAATTCAGAGCATCGGCTCTAGGGGAAGGGTTTTTCTCTCTTCAGCTCTGGAGGAAGGTCTGCATTTCTTCAGCTTCTGCTTCCTGGTTCCCTGGAGAGCTCCATGTGCCTTGGCATCTATCTTACTCCATCCGTCCCCTGCTCGCTTGTTTAATCTCTTTTATATCTCAAAAGAGACTGACTCAAGATGCAACCGACACTAATCCTGCCGCATTAAAATAACAGACAACCCATTCCCAAATGGGATTATAACTACAGGCATAGAGGTTAGGATTTACGACACATATTTTTGGGGGACACAATTCAATCCATAACATTCCACCCTTTGGCCCCATAAAATTCATGTCCTTCCCACGTGCAAAACACATTCACCCTATCACATCATCCCAAAAGTCTTAAATCAACTCCAAGTCCAAAATCTCAACTTCTGAATTATCTAAATGAAATGTGGGTGAGAGTTTAGAAGTATTCCATCCTGGAGCAAAATTCCTCTTCATCTGTGAACTTGTGAAATCTAGAATGTAAGTTATCTGTTTCCAAAGTACAATGGTAGAACAGGCACAAGATAGACATTTCCATTACAAATGGGAGAAATTAGAGAGAAAGAAGGAATAATAGGTCCCAAGAAAGTCTACAATCCAGCAGAACAAATTATATTAGCACTCAAGTCTTGAAAATAATCCTGTTTTCACTGAGAGCAGCTAGGCAATGGCATTGCCCTACAGACTCTGAGTGTTGGCCATGCCCTCTGAATTCTGGGTGGAGGCCCCTCAGCCCTGGGCTTCAGCTCTAGGCTGTCTGGGACAGCAACTCTGGTCCCTTGGCTTTAGGTGACCCCATTCTCCTAGTCCATCTGAGTGGCAACCTTACCTCCTCAGCCCTAGCAAGCCCCATTCTTCTCCCCATTGAGCATGGCATCCCTGCTTCCTCAGTTTTGGGTGGTGGTCCCATCCCCCTCACACACCTTAACAACAGCCCCATACTTTGTAACTGAGTTGGCACTTTGACTCTCTGAAACTTAGGAGGCTGTGGCCCCACCCTTTAAGATCCAGAAGACAGTGGCCCCACCCTTGGAAACCAAGAAGGCCCTGCTTCTCATGCTCCTTTTGACAGTTCTGCTGATCTCTGAGCTGCTCCAGGAATGGTCTATTTCTTTTCTTGGAGGACAACAGATATAACTTTTTTGGCCTATTTCCTGCCTGTAGAATTCCAAGAGGCAGACAGCATTATTTCCTTTTGTTCTTTCTCTGTCCCCTTCAGTCTAAGCTGATGGGTCTTCTGCTATGGTAATTGGTTAGATCCATCAGTCACATGATTAATCTCTTTAAGAAAAGATTGTGTAGCCACGTCCTTGGTGAACATTCTAGGACACATGTCCTTAGTTATTACAACAGAATTTTACAAATCATTAACTTCTGCTTTCATTTTGCACAGTTCATTTTTAAGTCCAACTCTTTCCTCTCGCATTTTACTATAAGTGGCATGGAGAAATCACACAGCCCCTTTAGGATCTTGCTTAGAAATATCATCAGCTAGATATCCAAGTTCATCACTTACAAGTTCTACCTTCCACCAAACATTTGAAGATAATTTAGACAAGTTCTTTGCCACTGTATAAAAAGCATGGCCCTTCCTCCATTGTCCAATCACTTGTTCATCATTTTCTTTTAAAGCCTTACAAGAAGTACATTTAATGTCCACATTTTAAGCAACTTTCTGTTGCTGGCACCATTTGTATTCTCTAAGACAATAGAGACTTTCTCCATAGCTCTCCTTACTTCCTTCTGAGCCCTCACCAAAATTGCCTTTGACATCCATCATTCTACCAACTGTCTCTTCAAGGCAATCTTGGCTTTTACTACTAGGCACCTTAAAACTCTTCCAGCCTGTATCCATTACCTGCTTCCACATATTAGGCATCTGTTAGAGCAGTACCCCTCTCCTGGTACCAAATTCTGTCTTAGTTATCTAGTGCTTCTATAATAGTAATACCACAAGTGGACGGCTTTCTTTTCTCACAGTTTAGGAGGCTAAAAGTCCAAATTCAGAGCACTGGCTCTAGGGGAAGATTTTCTCTCTGTGGGCTCTGGAGGAAGGCTTCTGCTTCCTGGTTCCTTGGAGATCTTCATGTGTCCTGGCGTCTGTCTTACCCTATCTCTCCTCTGCTCACTTGTTTAATCCTTTTTATAACTCAAGAGACTGACTCAAGTTACACCCTACATTAATCTAACCTCATTAACATAACAAAGACAACTCATTCTCAAATGGGATTACAACCACAGGAACAGAAGTTAGGATTTACACATATATTTTGGGGGGACATAATTTAAATAATAACACTTGCTTAAAAGACATATTGTTACGGCTAAACTACTTCACAAAGTTTAACTTTTATGATTTATTATCTCTATTATATGAATTTTGAATTATAATTAAAATGTGTCAACCTTCATTTATCTCCCATTAAAATATGTAAATCATAGAAGTGCTAGATTAGGATCAAACAATCGATTCTAGTAAGAGTCAAAGATTTTCTTCTTTGATTCATTTCTATCTGTATGGCATAGACAAGCTGTTTTAATACATCTGAGTCTCAGCGTTTTTCATTGTGACATAAGAAAATATAAATTGCTTGATGATTTCAACATGCAAAATATAAAATCCTTCAAAAATTACGAGCATCATTAATTTTATGAGATATTTTCTCCTTAAATTATTTACAAACTCTGGATTTGTAAGAAAAAATTAAAACCATATTTAAATGACTGTATATAGTTATAGCCCTTCTGGAGAAAATAGAGTGAGACATAAGTAATTCTAATGCAGCTCAGGAAATAGGATGATTCTTCATGAGCAAAAATTTGTATTGATGTTAAATTGATATGACATAACTTAATATGCAGCTACTGATTAAATGATGACCCAAAATCTTAAAAAAAATTTCTAATACTAGCTTTAACAGCTTTCATTCAATCATTAGCCAAATATTTAGAAAATATGTTATGTACCCATCACAATACTTCAATGATCACACAATAAAACCACAGCTTTTCATTCAAGAAGACTGATGTCTAGTTCAGAAGGCTTGGCATACAATTCAAGATAGGATATAGACAAAGTATAGTCAGTAACTTCTGTGGATGTGCAAAAGTCAGCAGAAGCAAGTACAAGAATTTAAAAAAATGCTGGATGAGACATGCAGTTGGTCAGGACCTTAAAAGTAGCACTTGTTCATAAAAAAGGAGAGGGTAGGTGTGCTAGGCAGGAGGCATATAAAGAACAAGGCTTTAAGGTAGGGTTAAGCTGGGAATCTTTGGTTTTTGTTAGGAAACTAGTCTTCTGAGTAGGTGGATGTGGCTAGGGAATGTGGGTTGCACCAAGACTGTAGAGGAGCTTTAATACCAAGTGGAAGAATTTTAACTTTATACACAGTTGATAAGTATTAAAAGATTTTGAGAAAAATCATATAAGTTATATTGTAGACAGACATATGTAATAACATGGACTACAATGAATTAAGAATGGAGGGCAGAAAGAAAACCCCAAAGCAATAATATCACTGTCAACATATTTTTCAGTTATTAAAGAGTGTATGACAGATTGGATTAATTCATCAATCAAATTGTGAGCTTCTGTAAGCACTCCCTTTAAAAAATAGATGCCGAAATTTCTTTTTTTTTTTCTTTTTTATTATTCACATTGCTAAAAATTATTCCAATGTATGAAATTAGTTTTTGGTTGACAAGCAGAGTGGAAATTAAAAACAAAACAACAACAACAACAACAAAAAAACCTTGCTTTCTACACACACACATTTAGAAAATATATCCTAACACATGTAACAAATAAGGGAAAATATGTATTTTTATAATTTCTCTAATTATCTAATGTCATTCATATGAATGCTTAAATAGAGAACAGCTTAGCCAGACATAAAGGCCCTCATAACTCCTGGGTAGCCTGAGTAACTGGAGAGCTCTGAACAAACCTACTAGAAAAATAAATGATAAAATGGCAAACTGTGCATCTTGGGCAACCTGAAACCCAACTCCATCACTATCTTGCCCTTTCCTTTTCTAGAGCAGATATGTGTTTTCTCATGTATCAGGGACCACTATACCAGTGCATAAGAGCAAGAAGAGAAGATATATTCCCACACTTTCCTAAACCTGTGAACATTATAAATTTGGAGGTAAAAACCATGGTCACAGTAATTTGAGTTCTCAAGATAAACATAGATTTACATAGGATATTAGGCTAATATGGTTAAGTACTTTGCAGATTTTGGAGATGAAATCAGAAAATATTTTTCCTAAAGTTTCTATGATGACTTTTAAGCACTTCTGATACAAGATATTGAAATTCATTACATATAAAAAGCAAAACCAGCATAGGAAAAAAGAAAATAAGAAATTATACCTCATCTGTGCTATTAATGAAGTGTACACCCAAGACCAAACAAAACAAACCCTAAAGAACAATTACAAAACCAGCACTTACCCATATTTTGCAAAATTTGCCCAGCGTTTCATTACGGATCTACTCAAAATTTCCTCAGCTTTTGTGTAGTTAACTCTTCTTTCCAGAGGTAAACCAAAGACAAACTCAATTTCATAACCATGCATCACCCCCATCCATTCTGGCCAAGGAAGTTTGGAGGATCGGTGTTCAAAGTAGTAGAAAAAGGCATTATTTCCTAGTTCTGAAAACCTTCTGGTGAACTCCAAGGCAGGGCATATGATATTGTAATCTCCAACAACATCGTCTAAGGCCTCCCGGTAATGTTCAGGTCTTTGGTCATCTAACCAATCTGTATAATGGAAAAGGATTGATTCTTTTCCAAAGTCACTCACTCCAGGAAAAAATATTTTTAAACCTTCTTGAAACTGTGTTCTAGTTATGATGCTGTTGTTATCTTTGCTGAACCCAGGAGCTCCATATACCAAAAAAGCTGTTCCTTCATCTTTATTAACGCCCACCATGATCTGGGTTTTTTTGAATTGTCCAAGCTGGAGTAGTGTGTCTGGCATGTCAATGAGAAAATCACCATCCACTGTTGGGCCAAAATTTACTGACAAAAGAGACTCATAGGGGACAACAAATACTTCATTCAGAAGAATTTCCTGGGGATCTTTATTTTGAAGGCATTTAATTATCTCAGTCTCATTTTCTCTTGAACAACCAAGAAATTTAGCTAAGGTCAATGTTCTATTTCTAGCTTCATAGATAGACATTACTGCCCAAGGGGCATTAGAGGATCCACTTTGCAGAATGGCCCTGGTGAAAAATGGGTGGCTTCTAGGAGAAAGTAAATGAAGGCTAACGGAAGCTGCTCCTGCACTTTCTCCAAAGAGAGTTACACTTTTAGGATTTCCACCAAAGGCTGCTATATTTTTTTGTACCCACTGAAGTGCCAATTGTTGATCAAATAAGCCCATGTTCCCTGGTGCCTCATGATTTCCTGGTAAAGCTAAGAATCCTAGGGCACCCACCCTATAGTTCATTGACACTACAATAACTCTTTCCACCCGAGCCAGAAATTTTCCATCATAAACATGCAAAGATGATGTTCCAGTTTGAAAACCACCACCATAAATCCATACCATTACAGTAGCATTTTTTGGTTTAGGCATGGGGGTCCATACATTTAGATATAGGCAGTCTTCGCTAAGGTCCGTGTTTGGGTTCCACATCTCTGATCCAAGGAAGCCTGGGAAACTCTGATCTATGTTCTGATAGCAAGAGTTTGCATATTTTGTGGCATTCCAAACATCAGACCTCTTTGTCAGAGACTGTGGCTTTTTGAATCGAAGTCTACCAAGAGGTGGTTGTGCATAGGGAATTCCAAGAAAGGCTGTTACTGTGCCACCAAGAACTGGCAAGGTCATGCCTCTGACTCTTCCATTCCTAGTTGTAATTATGATGTCTTCTTCAGTGTGTGACTTCTTGATAAGCACACAGAGGAAAAGAAACCACAAGAGAAATCTGATGCATATAATTTTGTCCTTGCTCTGCATATTGATTTCTGAAAGAGAGTTAAGTAGGAAGTTTTAGCAGCCTCATGTATACAATATTATAATTTATTGATTTTTAAGTAAATATCACATGTCTTATTAGTTCCTCAAATTATGAAAATAAGTCTGTTACCACAATAAAGGTCTATGTAGGAAAAAAATAGAAAAGAGTTGCATATATTTTAGTTTTAAATTTAGAAAAGAAATAAGTAGAATGGAAAAGTAGAAATTATTTTACGTTGGAAAAATTCGTATCAAATTTCTTGAAGGAAGATTTAGTATTTTAGTAATTTAAGATTTATGTATTTTAAGGATTGCATCACAGAGAAACAAACACTTAACAGGAATATGCTATATCAATCTGGAGATGAAGGAGAGTGTTGAGAAGCCTCAATGTGGCATAAAAAATGACAGAATGTCAGAAAGAAAACCTAAAACCAAAATCAAAATTGAAATCCAGGCAGAGACACCCTTCATGGTTATTAAAAATCAGAGTAATAGTCCAATTCAAAAGAGGAAGTCTGTCCCAGGCATACATAATATTACTTCTATACTATACACAGCCCCACCAAACTGACATTAAGAGGTGCTCTACTTAAAAGCTTGATTGGAGGAGGAAATACTAGCATGTATATTCTCTGAAATGTGTGTGGCTCTAATCATGGCTGGCTGGCTCTTGGAAGAGCTGTAAAGTAAGGGAAGAGCCTTTGAGGATTCATAGTCTTATATTATTTTCTTTTTATGTCTCCATGATACTTTCAGCGGCCTTTTTTGCCTAATGATTTCTTCCTCCCTACAATCCTAATCCATGGTCAGGAGAGAATATGGATATTCTATTTATAGAATGTTAAGTAATAAAAATATAGTAGTTTTTTATTCAACAAGTTATGAAAACTAACAAATATGCTACCACTATAAAAGCTTATGTAGGAAAAAATAGAAAAGTGTTGAGAATAAACATATAGTACCTGGGACAAAATTCCTCTTTTTAATCATATTATTCTTCTGAATTTTAATAATCATGAATGGCTTCTGCACTTACAATGTCACTGGTGAGAACCAGTGGTTGGCAGTATAATATGTGTGAAGAAAGATACTAGCTTAGAAGGAATTTTACACTCAGGGATTTCTCAAGGAACATCTGTTAATTTGTTGATTGATGATTAAAGTACATACAACCAATAAGTTTATATATGTTAGGATTGTCAGAATTATATTTTCATAGTAGACAACATGCATGAAATCAGAGGACTGAAGTTGAGAAAATACCAGGAAAAGTGGAGGAAGCAAAAGTAATCTTTGAGATCACCAAAATGATAAACTATTTGATATTTTATCAAAAAGATATAACTTTATTTGGTAATATGATGAGAGTATTTGGGGAGATCAAAGTTTTATTAAAAAGTTATCATGTGTACTTGAGTTTTTGTTAAATAAACAAATTTTAAAAATCAGACTCTGAAAACTACATGAAACAAATAGAGGCAAAAAATCAATGCAAATATAATTTAAGGAACTAACACCTTTATCTCCCATGTGTGGGGCAGTTTGTCATACTGAAGGGGCTTGCATGTTGCTGTGATGCTGAAAGCTATGCCACCAGTATTCAAAGCAGGGTCACCCATGATGGACAGGTTTCATCTGAGCTTCCAGACAAAGAGAGACAAGGAAAAGGACCTGGCAATCTACTTCTGAAAAAAGAATTAGCCAGTGAAAACTTTATGAATAGCAGTGGAACATTGTCTGATATAGTCCAGGAAGATGAGCCCCTCAGTTGTAGGACATTCAAAATATGACAGGGGAAGAGTTGCCTCCTCAAATTAGAGTTGACCTTAATGACGTAGATGGAGTTAAGCTTTTGGGATCTTCATTAGCTGATGTGGCACGACTCAAAATGAGAAGACACAGCTTCAAATATCCATTAATAATCAGAACATGGAATGTACAAAGTATGAATCTAGGAAAATTGAAAGTTGTCAAAAATGAAATAGAACACATAAACATTGGTATCCCAGGCATTAGTGAGCTGAAATGGACTGGCTTTGGTGATTTTGAATTGGACAATCATATGTTCTATGATGCTGGTAATGACAAATTGAAGAGGAATGGCAGCACATTCATTATCAAAAAGAACATTTCAAGATCTATCCTGAAGTACAACGCTGTCAGTGATAGGATAATATCCATATGCCTACAAGGAAGACCAATTAATAGGACTGTTATTCAAATTTATGCACTAACCACTAAGGCCAAAGATGAAGAAATTGAAGATTTTTAACAACTTTTGCAGTCTGAAATCAATCAAACTTGCAATCAGGATGCATTGATAATTACTGGTGATTGGAATGCAAAAGTTGGAGAAAACGAAGAAGAATCAGTTGTTGGAAAATATGGCCTTGGTGACAGAAATGATGCCAGAGATTGCACGATAGAATTGTGCAAGACCAAAGATTTCTTGATAGCAAATACCTTCTTTCAACAACATAAATAGCGACTATACGTGTGGACCTTGCCTGATGGTATATACAGAAATCAAATCGACCACATTAAACAGTAATGACTGAAGACCAGACGAGTTGTGGAATGACATCAAGGGCACATAATACAGGAAGAAAGTAAGAGGTCACTAAAAAGACAGGAAAAAAAGAAAAGTCTAAAATGGATGTCAGAAGAGACTCTGAAACTTGCTCTTGAACATCTTAACATCTGTTAGCTAAAGCTAACAGAAGAAATGAAGAAGTAAAAGAGATGAACAGAAAATTCCAAAGGGCAACTCGAGAAAACAAAGTAAAGTATTATAATGACAAGTGCAAAGACCTGGAGTTAGAAAACCAAAAGGGAAGAACATGCTTGGCATTTCTCAAGCTGAAAGACTGAAGAAAAAATTCAAGCCTCGAGCTGCAATAGTGAAGGATTCTATGGGCAAAATACTGAACGACATAAGAAGCATCAAAAGAAGATGGAAGGAATACACAGAGTCACTGTACACAAAAAGAATTGGTCAAAATTCAATCATTTCAGGAGGTAGCATATGATCAAGAACCGATGGTACTGAAGGAAGAAGTCCAAGCTGCACTGAAGGCACTGGCAAAAAACAAGTCTCCATAAATTGACAGAATACCAATTAAGATGTTTCAACAAACGAATGCAGTGCTAGAAATACTCACTCATCTATGCCAAGAAATTTGGAAGACAGCTATCTTGCCAATCAACTGGAAGAGATCCATATTTACGCCTATTCCAAAGAAAGATGATCCAAAAGAATGTGGAAATTATCTCAGTATAATTAATGTCACAAGGAAGTAAAATTTAGCTGAAGATCATTCAAAAGCATTTACATCAGTACATTTACAGGGAACTGCCAGAATTCAAGCTGGATTAAGAAGACATGGAGCCAACAATATCATTGCTGATGTCAGATGGATCATGGATGAAAGCAGAGAATACCAAAAAGATGTTTACCTGTGTTTTATTGACTATGCAAAGTCTTTCGTCTCTGTGGATAACGAATTATGGATAATATTGCAAAGAATGGGAATTCCAAAACACTTAATTGTGCTCATGAGGAATCTATTCATAGATCAAGAGGTGGTCCTTTGAACAGAACAAGGGGATACTTCATGATTTAAAGTCAGAAAAGGTGTGTGTCAGGGTTGTATGCTTCACCATACTTATTCAATCTGTATGCTGAGCAAATAATCTAAGAAGCTGGACTATATGAAGAAGAAATGACCATCAGGATTGGAGGAAGACTCATTAACAACCTTCATTATGCAGATGACACAACCTTACTTGCTGAAAGTGAAGAGGATTTGAAGCATTTACTGCTGAAGATCAAAGACCTGAGCCTTCAGTATGAATCACACCTCAACATAAAGAAAACAAAAATCCTCACAACTGGACCAATAAGCAACATCATGATAAATGCAGAAAAGACTGAAGTTGTTAAGGATTTCGTTTTACTTGGATCCACAATCAACAACCACGGAAGCAGCAGTCAAGAAACCAAAGGATGAGGAGGTGGGGTCAAGATGGCAGAACAGTCAGATGCTTCCTGTGGTCCCCTGTACAACAAAGACCCAAGAAAACAAATGAATCAATTACATATGACAATCTAGGAGCCCTGATCATCAAAGACAAAGTTGAGGAGTTGAACTGAGCAGAAAGCGGAAGGAGAGACAGTTCAGAAGTAGTGAAGACATGCCAGTCATGAGGTAGCTGGCACACTGCAGGCTGGGTCAGCTGGCATATGTGGGCTGAGGTGAACAGCAGCACTTGGGATGTGTTTCGCCTTGTAGGGATAGACCGAGTGGTGGAGAGCCTGCACAGGCCTCCAGAGCCAGGGGAAAGCAGTGCTGGACCTGTGAAAGTTAAGGGCAAGTGTCTAACCTACCACGCACGGTCAAAATAACCTCCCCACCTCCAGGACTTTTGCAGCAGAGAAGTGCCATTTTCCCCTCACTCAGCCCTCTTCCCACCAGTCTGGCAGTATTCAATAAATGCCATGCCCCCTAAGCTGGAACTAAGGACTACCCACGCCTAAACCATTCTTGCATCTTGAGGAAAAATAAATAAATAAACACCAAGCCCCCTGAGCCAGGAACTCAAGACCATCCATGCCCAAACCAAAACCAGTCTCATGGCATCAAAAAATCACCACACTCCGTATGCCGGGAACTCAAGGCAGGCACTGCTCCTTTGCTTAGGCACTGGCATAAGGGGTCCACAGACTTCTAATGCCCTTCTCCTCTGCCTAGACCTGTGTAGGCTGATTCAACAGCACAGGCCATCATTAGCATAGAATAACAGGGCGCATACCTGAAGACTATTTTCAACTGCAGCACCCAAGGGAGAGTTGCATATTCTTGACATTTGACACAGCCCTGCCCATTAAGCAGGGTCCTCACCCACCCACATCAGCAGATTGATGGCTGACGAGATCACCTGTTCCATCTAGCCACCCACGACAGGAGTCTGAGAATAAGTGGTGCCTCCCAGTCCTTACAGACAA